TTGTTGCATTTTAATTGCATCGCTGCCACGGGCTTAATATTGAGGAATGACTTTGCACCAGTGAAAATATATTTACCAGTTCTCAAATTATGAGCGAGTGTAAATGAGGGACACAGCCATTAAAATATTTTAATTGAAGTTGTTTGTATTGAGCCAAGCTGCATTTCCGGTGCTATTGGGTAAAAAGGACCCTGTTAGTCATCGGCAAATATCAAAGCCTGAATTAACATGCTTGCTGATGCGTAAAGGGCCGCCAATTAAATTTCCATAGAAAAAGGAAACAATGTAAAACTGAAGCCTTATTTACTCATGTGCCAAAAGCATTCCAGAAAAGAAAATGCTGTTTTTTTAGCAGGCTGTGTGCTGCTAGTGATTGGATTCTTGCTTTGTCTGTTTGTCACAAAAAAAGCTAATTAAAGGCAAAGTTTTTATGACCTCAGAAACGAAAGTGATAGGTGACATTGAACACTGAGCTCACATCCAATACATTGATTGATAATGAGTGGACCAATCAATAGCAAAGAATAGCCGCAGGCTTTATTAGCATCTCCAATTGGACACAGGAGATGATGGCATTCACCGGTCACTGAGTGACGTGGACCTTGACAAAGAGAAGGATGTGTGACACAAAGAGACGGACTGAATGGTTACGCAGGTCACAAAAAGTAGAACAGGCCTCAGTTAACATGACTGTTAATTTAGTCCCAAAAGGATTATGTTTCATTAGTATATAAGATGAATGGCATGCATTCATGGCCATATACAGCAAGAAGTAACATTAATTTGATTTCCTAAATTTTGTCCATACTCCTGATTAGGTCAAACAAAAGGATACCCCGTATCATTATTAGAACCAATTAAAATGATATATATAATATTCCTAATTCCTTTGATCACAGGCAGTAATCAAATTTCTTTTATTTGCAGCACAATCAGATTCATTATGCACACACACAATCATCTTATCAGAAAGATTACAAAATTTCCAGAGGTTTTATTTAAAAATGAAACATATTTAGTGATCAGTTACCATAAAACTGCCAAATACTATAAGATGAAGACGTTTTAGAGCTTGTTGAAAGACAGTAGTTACAGCACACTGTGAAGGAGTGATCTGGTTAACAAAACAAAAAGAACATTGATGACCGACTATATAAAATACCCATAAGTAATAACTTTATGCTAACAGCACACAGGGAAAAAAGTTATCCGAACTGGCTATTTTCACTCTATGGCATGAATGTCAGTCACACTTGCAAATACAAAACAGATTAGGCAAAAAAGTCAAGTTAATACCCTATGTTTTCTTAATTACACAGTCATCTCTGCAGCTCTTTCAATCTACTCCACCCAGGTTACTATCCTGCTGTACATTACTATGGAGCAATAATTTGTCCTAGTTTGGTTTATTAATTTTGCTTAATTTTGTTCTTGATAAAAGTATATCGGGTTGTATAAAGTATATCATTCCTTGTTAAAACTCGAACATGACAAGGACATTTTTGGAATTTTGTTTTTGCTCTAGAAACTCAAAGGATGCAACAGTTTATAAACTACTAACACAAATTGTAAATCAGTCCATGTAAATGCAATGGCCTTGATGTAAAGTTTAAGCTTAATCACAGATAGGGTTTACATAGAACTCCCCAGAGATTACAACATGTCAAGATCCCATATACCATTGTCTGCCCCACAAAGACCCACCTTTTTCCATGATTAAAGAGTAGGTGTCTAAAAGCTGCTGTTAAGAACTTTCCTGAGAAAGATTATGTTTGTATTCTGTAGGCTTTTATGAGAGATTAAAGTGAGCCACAGCCACTAAATTGAAATTTAATCTGTTAAAGAAATGTCCGACACATCTTTAATACATAAGACAATAGCCTACGACTGCAATCAGTTATTTCTTGCATATTCAATGTTACAACAGCTGTGCCAAAGGACTTTATATACTTTAGCTATCTGATTTGTAAAATGTGGTTTTGTGGTAAATAATCTATAAACTTCACAGAACTCATCTCAGATGGTAATTTACTGTACTAGTACATCCTGATGAATTTGCTGGCTTTCAAGGAAAAAAGAGGCAGAGATTAGAACAAGTGGACACATATATAGAGAGAGAACAAAACGGCCTCAGCCAAGGATAAAGGTTCGTTAACTTGCACTCCACACAACCCCCATAAATCACAGAGCCGTCAATCACAGCAGCTGTTAAATATTAATAAGTCCTGCTCACTTCCTCACACACAATATGGCATGTTTAACTTTCTTTTCTGAAAGGAGGGACAGTTTAAATATTCACCATCTTTTGAAATTGTCAGCATAGTATTCATGTTTACATTATATGATCAGGGTTTACAAAGAACCCTGTGACATAATTCACATATTACAAGTAAATACACCTACAAATGAGACACTGTATACTAAACATCTTGATAATATAATACACGGGGGTCAAACTCCAGTCCTGGGGGGCCGGAGCCCTGCACATTTTTGGGTTTCCCCTCATTTAACACACCTGATTCAACTCCTTGTGCTAATCATCACACAGCTCTTGAGCTGAATCATGAATTATGGTGGAACAGGGAAAGAGCTAAGCTACACAGGGCTCCGGCCCCCCAGGACTACAGTTTGACACCCCTGATATACTATAATAATGGAAGAAAATATCATTATTGTTATGGCTAACTGCTTCACTTATGCGTCATATATTATGTTCAATGTTTACATTTACAACAAAGCATAGAAAAATTTTTATACAAACTACGTAATTGCACGCAGCCAGCTGTGGATAGCTAATAGACTTTTGTAATGCTTTCACATATTCACTAATAGTCCAGTAGACATTATATTACTTCATCTGATGATCATGAGAAAAATCTGTTTCTTAAAAGTGCCATTCTGGTTATGAGACAGCCATTTAAATCTAATTAACTAGTCGTCGTTCTTAGTTTAATAATGCATAGATGGTAGTTCCTGGAGTTCTCGGTGCCGTAAATCATTTAAGTCCGTGTACATGCATTCCCAAAGCGTGTTCCCGGAAGCCTCAGAATAGCTGCAGGAGGTCTTAATTAAAAACCTTAAATTATCTTCCACTGGCGACATGGCAGCATCAGTAAATTGAATACGTCTCGCATTTACAATCTCTTGCTACACTATGTTCCTTCTATGTGGGTCTACACATGGGTTTTGGCTTCCTCGAGTTCTAGGAATTAAGTCCACGTTAGAAAATGATTTTACTAAAAATTCTTGTACTTTTGTAATCGCTCTGAAAAATACCACCAACATTTTCAAAATTTTAGTTGAAAGTTCAACTTGCCATTGTGGATGCTCTTCACTCTGTTGACTCCAGCACCTAATGTACTGCCTTCTTCACTTGCGTTGCTTAGCAGAAACCCTATAACACATGCTGTGGGTGAATCAAGCTAAGGCTGAAATATGGGTTTAATCTCTACTCTCTAAACTCTTACATTGTTCATTCCTTAACTATTTTTTAGAGAAGACTTTACTGCCTGCATCTACAATGCAGAAGCATAATAGCAATTTTCCAACTATGTCAGACAAGTGTAATTGTATCAGTTTTCTGATGCCTAACCTACAGTAAGTGAGCTGGAGAATCAGTTGTTTAAATATATCAAATATTACATCCAAGGGAACGAAATAACAGATTTGGGCATTAAAGATGAGTGTTGCTATCTTTCATCACTAAAAATAAATGCCATTGAGCCAAATAACGTTGATTTTAATAGTCATATTATAAAGTGATTACCACTCCAACCATCACTTCTCTATTAAGTAGTACAAATTACTTCAAGGGCCAATCATTTGCACTATTAATCTATGTTAATGTTCAGCTAAAAATGCATTAGTAAAATGTCGTGTTTAATAAACTTACCCTTTGACGATTACAGTATATAAATGATAATAACAGCTAGCCCTTTGACATGCTGCTCTGGTATTAGGCAGAATGGCACTAAAACAAATGTGCCATTAGCCCCATCTGCTGGTGAAAACAAAATATACCGGAATCATGACCATGTATCTGTAACTTAAATTGAAACTTCCGAATAGAGGTTTTTACTTTTATTTTCCCACAGCAGAATTTGCAGTATTTTATAATATCTAATTAACTAGTGTTTTATAATATTTTACATATCTATAAATGTAAAAATGCTGGAATTTCTGATGGTGAATGCCGAATCTTTATTAATCGCTCTCAAATATTGTAAAGGAAGCTTATTTGGAAGAAGCAAACTATATCACCAAACAAAATACTGTTAATGTTTGGCAAAATATTTCTATTTTTCCTTAACTGCTAAAATGATTTTTAAAAAGTGAAAAAGACTCATTTTGGAATTTGACGTCAGACATTTGTAAGGATTTTAATCATTCTCTTGCAAGAACGTATGAATCTGAAGAATAATTTTGCTTTGAATGAACCGTCCAATATAAACAAGTGTGACTTCCCGGCTGACTGAGGGTATTCTAACAGGACTAGTCAATTATAGTAGAGTGACAAAATTACATGCAATGCCAATGACTCCAACTATACCTGTATTCCAAGTGTTTCATTTTAAAAATATAATTATGCAATTGTTTAAAATGGTTAATTTTGTTTGATTCAATTATTATTTTCATTTTTAAGGCATCCACAATATAACTGATACATTTTCCCAAAGTTTTTCGAACGTGCTTTCTGCATGCATTTCCGCTGTTTTATCTGCGTAGCCTTGCTATTTAATTTTAATATACGCAAAAAAGAGAGATGCTCTTCCTCTCTTAAGATGATGGATAATAAACAACATCCATCCACGTTTTTATATGTCAGTGTGTTAAGTACAGACTACAACAGGGTGCTGGGGACATTTTATTTAATCTCAATTCATTTTTTATCTATACTTTGTTTATAATGCTTATTTTTATTATCTTCACCGGAAAAGCATTTCAGGATGAAAAGATATTTAAATCTACAGTGTTTCTCGCAAGAAAAAAAAGAAAAAATGGCTGTTTGAAAATACCACCTTTATTATAGAATAGAATAGAATACAATAGAATTCAACTTTATTGTCATTGCACATGTCACAAGTACCTGGCAACGAAATGCAGCTTGCATCCATCCAGAAAGTTCTTTAGCCATATATTATGATGAGTTACCCAAAAAATACATTTTTGTAAAGGGTAATACGTACGTATCGCCTTTAAAGTTACAAATGTTTCATTGTAATTTTTGTTAACTTGTATAGCTGCACCTTAGACAGAACACATATTCATCCCATGTGAGCAAAATTTAATATTGTTACTTGGCACAACAATTTTATGTACTTTATTCCAGGATTCAAAATATGATATGTGCGGATTTTAGAATACCACAGACAAAGTATAGGCTATTACATGAAGACATATAACGTATTGTTGTTGTTATTTTACAAAACAATTAAAAATGCTCATGCACGGGGTAGAATAATACCCAAAATTCAATTCATGTTCAAAACATCATGTTCTAATGATGTTGTCATGTACCACAAAACATCCATGTAACGCGTCTTGAGACGACTCTGTTGTGAAAGGCGCTATATAAAAATAAATTGAATTTTATTGAATTGAAAAACCGCTTGTCTGAGTGAAAGTGGAGCACCAACGGACAAAATCACAAAATATTGCCGTTATATTTTCCATTGGGAATGAATTTTCAGTCTGATTTTTAAAAACCATTTGAAAATTCATTGTAACCAGCTGCTGACATTCTGTCATTCAGTGAATACGGTATTAAGTGCAATAAACACTCAAAAAGCATCAATACAAACACATACACATTAACTGCACTCTTTTTTGTAGTGGTGCCTAATTATTATTAATAATAATAATAATAAATTAGCGAACCATAAAGTTGTAATTCTGAGAAATAAAGTTGTAATTATTTTAACTTTTTTAACGTGGCGGAAACGGGCTTCCATATAGCCTATAGGACACAGCGTGATATTTACGGAAGGAGATTATTAAGAAACGCTTTTAATACAACCTAGAACCTATTTACATCAGATGCAAAACATAAAATTGAATTCGAACAGATTAAACAAGGTGTAGTTACATTTAGATAGATGCCTGCGTCTGTCGCGTCATGTGGCTTAGTTTAGTACGTAGTGTTCATGCGCATTTTAGTCATCTTGTGTAACTGAGGAAGTCGCCCATGTTGACGCACAGCTGCCAGTGACACCCTTGCCTGATCAGCTTCGTGACATTGTCGATTTTATGTTTTGTCGATTTTTTTCAGCGTCACTATCTATAACGTAAATAATTAGAAAAGAAAACGCGCTGCTTTTACAACAGGAATAAATACTGTAGATTTTGTTAAATCTGTCATTTAGAACGTGTTTTACAAAATAGGCCTCTATATTTTCATTGTGGCACGACCGCGTGTATTTGTACATTGACGAAAAATAGCTGATGGATTCAAACATTTTCCAAGCTACCGCAACACAACCAAAGCAGACACAATCATTTGCACGATCTTTTTCTTGTTGCAATAATTCACTGCATTCGCCAATAGGGGGCGGTGTTTTGCTAGTTTCCACATACAGTACGCCGTCAAAACGAATTTTAAGAGGTCAGGAATAATGCTGATGCTTTTAAGCTTAGTAGAAATAACTTTGCTCAGTGTAAGTTATCATTTGATGACAATGACATTTTTTCCTGATTTATACACCATCTCATTATACAGAGACAGTGCTGTTTTTCTAAAAATACTAATTCCCCCTGATATATATCCTATCAGCATTAAGAAATGTATTTTATGGCATTTAATCTAAAATAATAACACAAAAATCTTATTATGCTGCTGTTTCTTAATAATTTGTACATGACTAAATGTTTATATAATAGAGAACTCACCTCTAATTCTTAGTTAAGTACTGTTTTCTGTTTTTTCCACCGAATACATCTCACCAGTCTGAGGTTTTAAAAATACTGTGAAACAGGTTTTATTTTAAGTCACAGAAAATTCATAGATTCTGATTTGTTCTTTTTATTTCCCTTCGTTATGCACATCAGTCTATCATGTCTTAAAACTATTGACTAAATTACCACCTTACAGACGTTCACTTTCAGTCTCCTACGTTTCATTAGCCTTATACTGTAACCTACAGCACACACATAGAAAATGGACCAGGCTTGGTCTAGATTAGCCACATATGTGCCAGCCACTCTGTATACCCATGTTCTCTTTCTACTGTAGCTGTTCAGCCATGGCTGAGTCTTTCACTCCAGCTGCAACCACTGCAAAGAAGAGGCTTGGGAAGATGGACCTGATATAGAGTGCCACTCTTGGGATGGGGTGGGCTAGGAGGACCTCCCTCTTCTTCCTGCTCACCGTGCTCAGAATCTCCTCAGCCAGGTCCACTGGGTGAACTCCATGGGACAGCTGTCTGTAAACGACTGGGATACACCAAGGAGGCACCATTCTCACCATGATGAGCTTACCAACAGTTACATACAAATGTGATTAGAGTACATCTAGAACATGAAATACAAGGGCATAAATTTTGTTATAAAGCGCTTATCTAATACAAAAAGTCACAAACCGCTATACAGTAGTAAAACAAAGTAAAACAGGGGAGAGAATACAAACTAGAGAGACAAAGTATAAAACAGTACATAAACAGCAAACAAATGCATAAAACATGCCATAAAAACAAAACACAAAGATAAAACAATGATTACTCAGCTCTGAGTAAAAGCCTGACTAAAAAGAAAGGTTTTGAGCTGTTTTTTAAGAGACCACTGAAACAGCAGTGCACAAGCCATATGACAAGTTGTTCCAGAGCCTAGGTGCCACTGCCTGAAAAGCACAATCACCACGAGTTTTCAGTCAGGTACGAGGGACCACTAATAGACCCTACTGTCCAGATCAGAGCTCCCGACAGGCTGTATAGCGATGAAGCAGGTGGGCAATGTATTCTGGTGCTTGAAACATGAACGGCTAACTGAACTTACATGGGAGTTAAGGCTTAGAGACTGATGCAATGTAACCCCAAGATTACGGAGGCTCGAGTTAGAGGCAGGAGAGACAGAAGAAAGCTTTAGGCTGATCTCGGAGTGGAGGCTAGGGGGGGCTACAACTGACATCTCGGTTTTCCAAAGTACAATTGTAGGTAATTGTTACTGTACCAGTCCCTCACATGAGATAAGCAGGCAACCAAAGTAGATAGTTTGTTCAATTGAGAGGGTTTAAATGAGAAATAGAGCTGAATATCATCTGCATAAAGGTGGTATGAGATGCCCTGGTAGGACTTGAGGATTAGAGATAGAGGGAGAATATAAAGTGAAAAGAGTAACAGACCAGGAACCGAACCCTGAGGCACCCCATATGTCAAAGGTGCAGCGTCAGATGTAAAATCAGCCACACAGTCTAAAGCTGAATCAGAAACGCCCACTAACTGCTCTAACCTATTCATTAAAATCTGATGGTCCACCGTGTCAAATGCTGCACTGAAATCCAACAGAATAAGCACAGAACACAGGCCCCCATCAGCAGCAATTAAAAGATCATTAAGAACTTTAAGGAGAACAGTTTCTGTGGAGTGCTGCCTCTTAAAAGCAGACTGAAAGGGATCAAAGAGCTGGTGCTCATCTAAGAAGGCACCGAGTTGCTGTTCAACAACCTTTTCTAAAACTTTGGCAATAAAAGGCAGTTTTGAGATGGGCCTGTAGTTGCTCAGTAGAGATGGATCTAAATTGTTTTTCTTCAACAGTGGTTGAATTACGGCTTAAAATGAGAAGGAACAACGCCAGATGTCAAGGAGCAATTTATAATGTTTAAAAGGTGTGGGCCTATGCATTCAACATTTTGCAGCAGTATAGTTTTGTCAGCAACACATCAGAAGCACAGGAAGAAGGTTTCATCTTCCTGAGTAAGTTAGAAAGATCAGAGTGAGACTAGTGAGAATGTAAAAAACTCAGAGCATGAAGAAAAAGGAACAAGAGACAGAGGGGCCTGATTATGCATTTCCAGTTTTTCCTTTTGTGTGTTATAAAGCTTTATGTGCATGTAAACGGTCTGCAAAGTCTCAAGGCCCAAAGTTCACACCAAAGGGAGTAACTCTCAGTGCAGAAACCACTGTTCTATTTCTGTGACATGGTGAGGTCACCTCATAACAAAGTCCTTATTGGCCACCTACCTGACAAGCTGACCAATCAGGCAAGCTCACCAATCATAACTCACTGGGCTTATGGTGGGTGGGGCTTAAAGCTTTAACAGATCATTTCAGGCAGAGTTACAGACGAAGTGAACAGAGATGTACAGTATGAGAAAAATCATGTGTTTTTGTATGTATGTAAATCTATTCTAGTAGACCCCAAAAATAAAATTATGAACAGTGAAAATGAGCATAACAGGGCCCCTTTAAACAAATATGTGCATGTATCAGCAATGAGTCAGGAGATTTTGCAGATTATTTTTTTTAATTTTGCAGGGAGTAGGGCGCTACTGAAGCCCAGCTGCAGTTGGGTGACTTACAGGTCCAGAAGGGATTGTCAGACGGCGAGGACGGGCTGAGGTCCTGGGCCAAGGCGCTGATGAACGTGTGGCCGATGGTGCTGACCGAGATGCCGCTTTCCTCCACCTCGGCCCGCAGGCAGTCGAAGAAGGCCTGCACCGCATGCTTGGATGCCGCATCTCCAAGAAGAGGAAAACGAAACTTCAGGAGCAGCCCAGCAATGAAATAGTTTCCTTCTTGTACTCTTTCAGAATCTTCTCCTTGAAATGCTACTACTGATGAATTCAGTCTCAGTCCTACAGATTTTCCACCTTATCACTTCGTGTTCTCTTGTTAATTCTAGTAAAATAGAACCAATTTTGTAAGCTCTACTAAATACATACACGCAGTGCGGAATGGTACAGCCAGTTTGCCCTGGATGCTGTTAACCAGTAACAGATGACCGGTCCTCCTGGAGATCATGGACAGCAGAACACCTGCAACAAGACAAGTACACGGGTTTAAAGTTTGTGACTGACTACAATTAGGTCCATATATATTTGACACAAGTTTTACTATTTTACTTGTTTACTGAAATATATTCCAATTGAAGTTATACAGTGGGCATGGACATAAAGTGCAGACTCAGATCCACATTCAAATTGGATGAAGGGTTTAGGAGTTTCAGCTCATTAACATGTGCCAACCTTTTTTAAAGGGGCCAAAAGTAATTGGACAATTCACTTAAAAGCTATTTCATGGACAGGTGTGGGCAATTCCTTTGTTCTTTCATGACCAATTAAGCAGATAAAAGGCCTGGAGTTGATTTGAGGTGTCTTGTTTGCATTTGGAAGATTGAGGTGTGAACATACAACATGTGGTTAAAGGAACTCAGTATGCATGTGAAACAGGCCATCCTTATGCTGCGAAAACAGAAAAAAACAATTTGAGAAATTGGCACAACATTAGGAGTGGCAAAATCCACAGTTTGGTACATCCTGAGAAAAAGAAAGAAAGAAAGAAAGAAAGAAAGAAAGAAAGAAAGAAAGAAAGCACGTCCACGGAAGACACCATTGGGGGATGATCGCAGAATCATTTCCACGGTGAAGAGAAACCCCTTCATGACAGCCAACCAGGAGGTAGGAGTATCAATATCCAAGTCTATCTTAAAGAGAAGACTGCATGAAAGCAAATACAGAGGGTTCACTGCAAGCAAGATGCAAGCCACTCATAAGCCTTAAGAATAGAAAGGCTAGATTGGACTTTGCAAAAAACATCTAAAAAAGCCAGCACAGTTCAACCTGTATCAGAATGATGGAAAGAAAAAAGTATGGAGAAGGGCTGGAACAGCTTATGATCCAAAGAACACTGCATCATCTGTAAAACATGGTGGAGGCAGTGTGATGGCTTGGGCGTGCATGGCTGCCAGTGGCTGCCAGTGGCTGCCAGTGGCTGCCAGTGGCTGCCAGTGGCTGCCAGTGGCTGCCAGTGGCTGCCAGTGGCACTGGGTCTTTAGTGTTTCTTGATGACGTGACACAGGATGGAAGCAGTCGAATGAATGCTGAGGTGTTCAGAGACGTCATGTCTGCACAAATCCAGCCAAATGCAGCCAAATTGATTGGACAGCGTTTCATAATGCAGATGGACAATGACCCAAAACACACAGCAAAAGCAACGAAGGACTTTATTAAAGCAAAGAAGTGGAATATTCTCGAATGGCCAAGTCAGTCACCTGATCTCAACCCCATCGATCATGCATTTCACTTGCTAAAGACTAAACTACAGACAGAAAGACCCTCAAACAAACAGCAACTGAAAGCTGCTGCAGTAAAGGCCTGGCAGAGCATTATAAGGAGGAAACCCAGCGTCTGGTCATGTCCATGAGCTCAAGACTTCAGGCAGTTATTGCCTGCAAAGGGTTTTCAACTAAGTGTTAGAATTGAGAATTTTATTTGCAGTTATATTAACTTGTCCAATTTCACAGATACAGTCCGTACCTCATGCTGCCATTTACGTTTACCTAATTATGTCGGACAGTGTTCTTATTTACGTGGCTTTCTTACCCTTGGCAATTAAAACTGAGAAGCAGGTCAGCACTGAACTAGGCCAGTGCCAGTGTGTACCTTTGGCCAAGGTGACGGGTCCAAAGTAGTTTACATCCATGATTGTCTTGTCCATTTCCAGAGAGAGGGCCTGCACTGGTGCCTTGACCTTCATGCTGCTGTTGCAGATCAGGACGTCCACACAGCCGAAGCACTCGAGGATCTCTGTGACGATGCTGGGCATGCTGTCCATGTCGCTGAAATCGAGCAGCACTAGCTTGGGGGTGAAGGTCTTTGATGGGAAACGGCAACATCACAAATTATCAGAACGACACTCACTAACATCATGACGCTACATAGAACATGATAAAAGTTATCGACATATAAAAATGTAAGTAGTAGATGGATTCTGCTCTACTTATCATACAGTAATTTCACCACAGAAATTTTGTGTACATATTTCTACATTTAGCATTTAATTTTTTTGGCATTTTAGAGGCATTACAATGAAATGTGGCCTGCTAACCCCCCTTGAGAATTAAGCAACTGATTTATTTTTGTTGACTGATTTAAATTTGAAGTTAAATCAGTGAGTCAAATAGGACATATTTCAAATAGAACAATGGTGCAAATCTTTTCATTTTTAATTGATTTACTGTATTATTAATTCACATGTTGCACATGCAGCTCTAGATGAAATCATAAATGTGAGGTGTTTCACGTGAAATGATTTTCCAGACTTATAAATATGCAAGGACAGCGTGCTGTTTCAGCGGAAATCCACCCATTGTTTAATCAGATGTGGAGGAAATGTTGATGCTTAAAATGAGACGGAGGATAGAGGGTCAAGGCTTTGACATGAAAAGCATCAAAGAATAATGCTGCGCCCCAGCAGCTGGCTGAGCCTGCAATCGATTTCGGGAAGATTTGATTCAGTGAAAAATCAGTAAAGCGATGCAGTTCGGCGGCGGCTCGGGGCACACGCACCATGCGCGGGTCTGACGCACTGCTCAGCGCATCGCTAAGAGATTCCAGCTTGTCGTAGCTCTTGCCGCAGAGGATAAGCCTGGCCCCTCGTGTGTGGAACAACCTGGCACATTCTACAGAGAGAGAGAGAGAGAGAACGAGGGACAGAAAGAAAGAGAGATGGGCCAATGTCACATGAAACGAGCCGCCGGCCCCTAGCTAACTGGAAGCCCACCGTGCCACCATTCCAGTGGCAGAGGACAACAGTATCCCCCCCCTCCTCCCCCCCAGCTCACAGCTGTGTTTCTGTTTTGGGATTTTCAGTCCTCTGGGTTGTATATGCTGAACCTGGTGACACACAGTGAAGCAGGGGGGGCGGAGATCACGAATATGGGGGCTGGCAGGGCACAGCACCGTAGGGCAGAGATTCTCTAACCAGCCCTCGGGGACCCCAAGATGGTCTGGCGGGGAGCTGAGAGGAAGCAAAAACATGGAGCTTTCTGGGGGCCCCTGAGAGCTGCTTTGGGAAACACTGCTATAGGGGACATGGGGAGGACCAGCTATCTGAATGTGGATGTTGGGTGGGGTTGGTGAAGGCAAGCATTTGACACATTGAAAATGATAGTCCCTACATTGCTGTAATCTCTTCCAGTGTGCATAAATGTATTTTTGTTAAATTAGATGCAGGCATTAAATTCTATATATTTTGTTTTATAGTGGTGGTCAGTGCTACAGCAATAAAACTGAACCCAAGTGTCGTCAAATTGTCCACATATCCAGATGATTCAGTGTCAGCCTGATGTAAAACATACTGGTGCATGGAAACAAATCAATCCCAAATCAATCCCACATCAATTCCAAATCAATTCCAAATCAATTCCAATATCAAATAACTAAGCAGTGGCACGATACTCAGTGGTATCCCATAGTGACAGAAGGAACACTGGTTCACTGATAAAAAATGTATTTTCTTACTGTGGTATTTTCCTGAAAGTCAGAGGTGATAACAAAACCAACCTGGTGTTTTGTTCAGAAATACTTAGTGTCTGAAAATATGTCTTTTTTTTTTTTAGAAAGAAATCTTATAAATGTCCTCAGATGAGTAATTATGTATCTTCGTTTTATATTGACCAATTACGTCACTGTATTTACCTAGTAGCACTTATCTCGGCTAATATGCTATTTTAATTATACTTCTTGCTGGTGTCGACTGCTAAAAATAACAAATTATTTACATGGCAGTCAGCAATATTCTCCATGTCCTGCAGTCTCTATATAAAACAGGACTAGCAACTTGATACTCATTTAATAAATCTGAGCTTTATTATGTAGTATAATTTTTGGAATTTCATTTCTAAGAAAATGCAAGTGTATATATTCAATTTATGGCTTGACATAGAACACTATGGAACCTCCGCCAATGTAATAAAGATTCTTCAGTGATTGATCCAGGATTACAGGCTCAGTTTCAGAGGATGAATGTGTAGTTCCATGGAAAGTGTGGATATATGACTATATTTTGAGAATCCACTGGTTTGTAGCATAAAAACTGTAGGACATGCATGTAGGAGATGTTACCGGTTCCTACTCCTGATGTGGCGTCTGTTATCACGACCACTTTGTTGCGCACCACAGACTTGGACATGAACTTTTGCACCTCATTGTAGACGTAATATACTCCTGCCCCCAGAACCACCAGAATGGGCAGAACAAAAATGGATGTTATTCCCATTTTCTGGAAGACAAATGCAAAGACACATCAAATTGGTTAGCATGTTCCTTGGTGGGGATACGTCAGATAATTCTGTCAGAAACAAGCAAAGTACAGACAGAAAAGTCTTCGAGAACACAAGGGATACCATAAAAATAAAAAGATCTTGATGAACTAACAGGAACAGTCCTACTGTACCAATTACATATTCTAGGAATAGAGTGACCTGGGTGTGAGCATTCTTGGAAAACAGGGAAAGCATAGAAAGAAATGGAAATTACATTCAAGGAGTGCAGCTATATATGTGTGTGTGTGTGTGTGTATATATATATATATATAAACACACACACACACACACAGATATATATGTATGTATGTATGTACGTATAAATCAGTGTTCTTTGTTTTGCATATATATATATATAAATATGTACACACACATATCTGCAAAGCAAGGAAAACTCATTTGCTTAGGATAATTTCCTAATAACAATTCTTGAGGTACATAGTCCTCAGTTTGCCGAAAAGACCATGCATAATCATATATTTCCTAATTTTTATGAATAGAAAATGTTGTGACTACTGTAATTTCTATATTAAGCGAAAACGACCAAATTACATATCATGTATATCTGGTAACGTGTGTGTTATTCCCAGGAGAATAAGTGAAAATCTAAAAAATAATCCTTCTGTTTTAATTGACTTACCCAGGTTTGGCTATAGTGACCCAGGCATAAGGCACAGTGCGTTCAGACCTTGTCTTTGCACTGAAGGACGCTTCTAAGGGGACGTGTTGGTGTACACACCCCCAGCTGGGATCAGAATTTGTGGAAGGGACTAACTAGGCACTAACCACAGGGCCAACTCAAGCAAAAAATTATTCTTAGATATCAAGACTTACAAAAATCGATATTAACAGTAAAAGTTGTTTGACTACTGTAATGGTATTTGCCCGCTCTAAAACAAGAGCATTATACCACACCATGTACAGTGTGTCTGGGAGCCGATTCTAAATATACCCTGGCCTAGATTAGCTGTCCAGAAAATGCCTAACACAGTGTAGCCACCAGGATACTGTTGGAAGGTACCTCACTAAAAAAAAAAAAAAACCAGCAAGTTCACACAAAAAACGACTTTGTTCATTGTCCCGCACATCTGTCAAAAATGAAACAGGCTGATAATCGTGCCAAAAAGATTATGAAAGCAAAATGCAGCAACCGGAAGACTGAGGAGGGTGACAGAAGGAGAGTTTACAGTGAGGTCTCCACAACACAGGAAAGGTTGACACAACACTGTGCTGTGGCGGTGGTAACCACTGGTCTGACACAGCTACTCACCTGCGATCGGGTTAATTTGGGATGCCGTACATGAGGAGCAAAATCCAAGCTGAGAGTGGCTGCTGTTTCCCAGGTTTAATTAGTGGATCGGGCAGTTCGACTCTCCCTCCATTCACAGGCACCCTCTGCACAGCTACTGGAACAACCAGCAGGGGCTTGAATTCTTTTAATAGCTTGCAGCTGAGTCTGTCAGTTTTCATGTGTGACATGTGTTATCCATAGCATGACAGTTTGTGGCCAACAAGCACAGAAAAATGGGGGGGGGGGGCTGCGTTTTTCTTTGTGCGTCCTCAGAAAAGATCTCCCTGTATCGACCACAGTACGCTGTCACATGTTCAGAAAGTGATAGGAAGGAAAACTAAAGGAAGGCGACAGTGGAACAGCGCTGTCAAACTGCAGTTGAAGCTTTTTCCAGCAAGGTTTACATGTAATAAAGGTCCAATCTTGAACTACATCTCTCTGTGTAACCTTTTACTAGATTACACTGATTGTAGCTTTTAGTTTCAAGGTTATGTTAGAAAACATCAAATGCGCTATGCTACTAGCCTCACTCAGTGTGTCGCTATTTCAGAAATACTACCATGCACACACCTCTGTAAATACTAGGCCCAAAAGAAGTTTTAAATATAAACTTTTGGAGCATATTAGATATAATCTAAAGAACTCTCCTCTGCTTCTTCTCTGCTGAAGCTTATTCAAAACACAGGTTTTATTTGTTAGGAATTGCTTTACATTTGCAGCTTTGTGGCTTTGAAAATGTACAGTAGCATCCATCCATCTTCTAACCATTTATCCTGCCCTGGGTTATGGGGTCACCTAGAACCTATTCCAGGCAACACAGTACACAAGCCTGTCTTTTCAAAGTGTACAATCGGTGAAGAACCATCAGGGTCAGCCTCGTCTATTGTGCATTCCCCTCAGGATGCCCAACTCTGTCACTTATCATCTTCCTGAAAGGCAGAGAGCAGCCCAGAACCCTCAAATGTGAAAGGGGAGTCGATTAGCAGCAAATTGCTCCATTTTATTTCTCACAAAGGAGCTACACTTTGAAATAGGTGCCATTGTACTGACACAATATAAAAATTACATATAATGGCGCAATGTAGCATCGACAAACAATGCAGGCACTGAGAAGCAGCTTACGTTGTATTTTAGCCATGGATCAATGCTTCTTAATTAAATGTAGATGGATCACGCAGCCTGTGTGTTCGGTAACAGGCTATATGATTGTCGAGACCCCGCATTGGATAAATGGCTATGAAGAATGAATGAATGGATTGTTTATTGTTTACACTTTTGCTTTTGCTGATTAATCATGTGCTGTCATAATGTTATACGGGCCTACTGTATATTATTCTGTCCACGTATGTTTCTGTCCAGCCTTTGCAAGCTGTCATGAGTTGGATCAAAGGCAAGACAATGACAGTGCCACAAGCCAAAAGCTTTCATTTCATAGTCTTGATTTGTTGTAATTACTTTGCAAGTAATTTTAAAGAACATCAGCAAGTCAAAAAACCTTTTAGTCTCAGGTAACACCCATATCATACAGTAAAAAGTACAGCATGCTAATGTATCCTGCACAAAATTGCCTGTCTAGTATAAAGTTATAATGCTGAAAAAGTGCTTCTGATTGTTTTATATACCATATGCATATACCGTAGCATCTGTACACATCCAACATGAGCAAAGATGTCCTCAAAATCTACATCATTCATTGAATACATACACTGAGAAGTATATGTAACATTAACTTTTAGAAATGATTCATTATTGTACTTCATGTTACTGTTATAAAATGGTAAGTGATTTATTATACGCAGATACAACCAGGCATGGATTCTATATTGAATGTCCTTAATACCTGTATCTGTGGTTGCTGTGAACATATGAAAATTCTGAGCAGCTTTTCGATGTTCGTTTAATGCTTACTTTAAATAAAGTTGTGACAAAACAGTCATTCACAAGTTAGATCATTTATTTACAAAATTCACTACTGTTTATAGTATTAACAAAGGTTGTTTAACACACTGTTATTTTATATTAGTCAGCAATATTTTACTTTTAAATAAGCTTTACATTTGCAATGCTGCTAGGGAAATACAGGGAATGTGTCCAGTGCATCTTGTTGTGCTTTAACAAGAATCTACACCCAGTTCCTTGGGTTCATATTCAAAGGTATCTGGGGACAATATGGTCATGATAAGCAGCCAACAGAAATTAAAAAATATGTAGAACTGTGGAATTTTTTCCACTGTGCCTGTTTTGAGTTGTTGATGAAATCCTGAATAATCTCTAACGTCATATAAAAAAAACCAAAAAAAACAGGTGGAACGTTTAGTCATGTATCTGTTGCCGTGTTTTTCTTTGTCTCAAGAGGACCGCTATCAGGAAAAGAGCAGAATAAAAACATTGTTAGCTAATACAGGATGGTGGACAGGGGCAGCTGCGGCCCCACAAATGGCAAAGCTGAGATAACAAGCCGTTCTCCTCCTGCCTGCATGAAACAAAGCCATGCTTGTCAGATATTGCTTCCCCTTCAAAACCATACTTCACCTTAACCTAAGATATGATTGTCAGATGATTATAAACATTCAAGTAATATAAATCTCCCTGGATATTATCCAATAATTGATGGTCTGACTTTTGTACGGCTTGCTTGACAGGAAGGTTAGAAAAATGCGGAAAAGGTAAATACAGGTACAAGCTGTTCATCACCTCACTGTAACCCTGTTATTTCAGTGCCACAGCTGTTCAGGACAGTCTTACCCTTGGAGTGACACGGAGTTCACTCTGCTCATAGATGTTTAACCTGAACATAATAATAATAGCATTAATCCATTTTATTCTAGGCTTTTTTTTTCAAAAGAATTTGATTCAATATGCCTGAAACATAATAAAATAACTTGATTCATGTCACGACTCGTCTGTGCCTTGGTGTTTCACTTGTGTGAAGCGACTCGTCTCACCAAGACGTGTAGCTATGGGAGCATAAACTAGCCAGGCAATTCTAAGCTAATTCCAGGTGTCAGTCGTTGACTTGTATACTTTAAATGCCAAGAACAAGTATGAACAAGTGCATCTCTTTAGTCACACTCAATTAAAAAACCTGAAATGACATATGCCAGTTTGTGACTCTTTAGCTTGTTATTTTTTGGAGGAGGCAACAAGGTGAAAAAGATCAGGAGCAGGTCCTCACAAGGACTGGAAGACGCTCATAAAATATGCAGCTGTGTAAACATTTACAACTGCTTAAAGCCCTGAATAAACCAATTAAACAAATAAAGTTTGATATGAAACTTTTCTTTGTAATTCCTAGGCATATCTCTGCTGAAGATTTCCACTGTGTCCCTTGGCAGGAGTATCAAAACGCCACTAAGTTGCCTTTATTTGTTTAAGATAACATGGAAAGATTTACAAGGTACAGACATCTTAACAAGATCCCCCCGGGGTTCTTCATGTCTCTCAGCATTACGTCCCTAAACTGTGATCAGCACAAATGGATTTTTTATTGCAGTTGTGCTGATGACGTGCAGCTGTTTCTCCCCCTCCTTCTGACTCACTGGTCACCTCATAGATATTGATTTTTCTGGAAAATGTCTCAACCTGGGGACTCCCCAGATGATCTATCATCCCCCTTCAGCTACGTCTCAGCAAAACTAGAAAGCTAGACTAGACAGCTATGGCGTCACTTCAACCAACTAAAACCTACGTGTGATCTTTTCTTCTCAGAAGACCCATTGCTTTGTTTGTTACAACCTATTAAGAATCTGCTCATTCCTTACATCCCTCTGACCCAAGACAGATATATACTTAACCTGGCTATTGATTATTTTGGCACTACTGTCCAATTACAGTTGGCAGGAAAGATAGTGGGAGAATTGGGAGGAAGTATATTGCCATTTATAGCTAGTGGGAATAAGGAGCCCTATCAGGGCTTCTTGCCACATTGTGGAGAGATGAGTTCATAGCTAACAGTACTCATGGATACAGCGTCATGAAGGCGTGGGCAACATTGACCACAATGATGAATTACTGTAGTATGGTAATGCCTTTGGGTTGTCTAGGGTCAGACATGTGGTAAAGCTAGTGCTCTCCCCAGTCTGTTTAGTTAGTTATAGTTTTATTGTTGTTGTCATTGTACCAGGTACAATGGAAATTTTAAGTGCCATCTAAAATGGTGCATTAAAAAAGGGAGAGAACATATAAAAACAGATAATAAAATCATAATTAATTTATTCACGCACACACACACAAACATACATTCGCTACCATGTGCCACATCCACATCCTCTCCCAGGAAGGCGAATGGTCTCGCAGGCTAGCTGGTACAGTGACAGCTCACTACAATCCCCTTTGGATCAGTACTGTGTCGAGAATCGTTTTTGCTGCATCACGTGACAAATTCTGTATAAGCCTCATTTATTCCCTTTCGTGTGCAAAAATACAGCAATGGAGGAGCCATCAGAGAATTTCTGGAGCTGGGACCACTTGGAGTTGTACTTGAAGTCTGTTTTTTTTTTTTTAACAGAAAGAGAGACAGGATGGTTCCCTGGCGTGCTGCCATGCTCCTCAGCATTATCTGCGACACACACTCCCAAAGTCATGCGAACTGTTCAAGATTCCAGCGATTCAAGCAAGTTCAGTGTCTACACAATGAAATTCTTACTGGTTATTCCTCCAGATGCTGCAAAGAAAATGAAAACTGAAAAAATAGAAATATTAAAGAAAAAATAAAAGTAGGTAACAATGGAAAACACACATACATACATACATACATACATACATAAATATACATAGAAAAAATATATATATATATGTATATAAATGGGGGTGTGCAGTGGAAAGTCACTGCAGTTCAGTAAAACATGACATATATATATGAATACTGTGGACATAAGAATAAGTAGAGCTTTCATTTCAAGTTCCATGCATCCTTCAACCACTTATCTGTATGGTACATACGCAAACACCTGCACTGTCAACCTATGGGCAATTCAAAGATGCTAGTTAACCTAACTGCATGTCACTGGAATGCTGGAGGGAACTGGAGCACGTAGAGGAAACAGATGCAACATAAGGAGAACATGCAAACTCCTCACACACGGAACAGAGATTGGACAAAGACCATGGAGATGTGAGGTATCACTGCTGAGGTGTTATCGAATATTTTCTTT